CCCACTTATGACTACAAATTTGTAACTCGGTAACCGATTTATCAATTTCCAAATCAAATTATTCAAATCGGACCAAAAGTACATTCGCTTCCCGTATATATAACGGTAAATTTCAGATCTCTTAATCTCTTAACAATAAATAAGACTTCGTGACACCGCCCAATTTATTACTACAAGGTGTATTTCGGTAGCCACTTTAGCGATTTCTACTAAACGTGGTTCACTTATTTCATTGAGTTTAACTCAGGATATTATCGAAAACGTTTGAAATCGGGAAAAAGCCCCTGCTTACGACAGTATTTGATACCTGCGCCGGGTAGATAAAGTTCGGTTTCGCCCAAACTTTACCTCTTTACTTGCTTTTAATTATTTTCTTTTATAAATGGTACATAAATTTACGACTTAAAATAGTTATTTTTGTTAATAGCAATGAAATATAACTGTATAAGGTTATAATTCATTTTAAAACAATAAAATATATTTAAAGTAAACAATTAAATCTTTTAACAATAAAAAATAATGGAAAAAAGGTTGATAGAAAATGTGCTAAGTCCACATTAAAAGAATAAAATCTTGAAGAGAAAATGTGGTAAGTCCTAAAAGAGCCTATAAGTCTGCAACAGCTTTATTTTGAAATTGGCCGATTATTGGTACTTAAACAAGACGAACTAAGAAATAAAACTGCATTTACAGATTAGAAAAATATTGACAACAAAAAAAGTTAGACGGTTTTTTGTCCCTCCTGAAAAATAAAAAAAAATGGACTTAGCACGTTTGCGAACTAAGCCATCGAACTGTATTTTAATTGAAAATTCTTAAAAATAAATAAATAAACATAAGTGGCACACAATATCACTTTGAAATGGCGTGCTATAGATATGACCGAAACTGTAAGTGTATATGTACTTAACAGATCCCTGAATATATATGTATGTATACAAATATTGTGTCTATGTACTTACCTGTGTAGTGAGAATAGTTTTTTGGTATCAAAACTTTCTGTTGCCTAATATCTTCGTCGGTTATGGAACCACTTCGTAACGCGTTACCCCGTTGTAAAGTCATACGACGTGCTAGAGTCTCGGTCTGTTTTAGCTCTCTTCTGCGATGATATTTACAATATAAAGTTTTATTTTTTTTAGATGCATTTTCCTCCACAATATTTTCCAATAATTCATCAATGGTATCGCCTCTATTTACTAGAATCGTATCGTCTAAACCATTCGCTTTAGTTGCGGTTAAAATTACGGTTGATTCAGTATCGCTTGAAGTGACAGCTGTGTCTGTAAGAACTATACATTCATTAAAACCCATTAGTTCGGTTCCCCTGCTGTAGGAAATTGTTCGATGCGATGCATCAGACTCAGGTTCGGACAATGAAGAGGCCATTATTTTTTGTCTAATATTTTCGGAAGTCTCATCATCTAAACCTAGGCTTACTGTTTCTGGCACTCTTTTATATGTATGTTTTTCGGTTTCAAAAAAATGTTCCATGTTAGCAATTTTAACGGTATCAAAACCAAGATCAGGGCTCTCTAGTGCCACAAAACTACTAGATTCCTCCTCGTCAAACGGCAAATTACCCACGATAACACTATAGCTCATTGCTGAACCTTCAATGCGATATTCTTTTTCTGAATTATTAATCACTACTTTGTCGTCTTCGTCGTCGGAAGAAGAGATGTGGTTTTGCTGCAGGTCCTGCATGGAAAGAATAACCGGTTCCTCGAAACTCCGATTAAGTCTACCCTGTATATTTGCCGAATCAAAGGAGCTGTGCCTAGAAAGAATGTGTTTTTGTAATTTTGTTATTAATTCTTCAGTTCCATGGATTTTATTATCCACTTCGTCGATAAAATATCCTTCTCCGTCTTCTTTTCTTCGTAAATTATCATCTTCGGGTGAAGGTTCTTTCAAGTTCTCAAAAGGAACACAGGTTTCAGTATTCTCGGGAAAATCAGGCGGTTTTAAACTATCGAGATTTTGGTGCTTGGACTCACTTTCCCACTTGGAATATTGACGTCTTTCATAAAACATAAATTTTGAGATAATACGTATGAGGTTTTCGACGTCAGCAATTGATTTATTCACATCAGCACTTGATTCCGTCTTCAGCTCTAAAAAAGATATAACTGTTACTATATTAAATATTAAATAACACAGTGCTGTAAAAAATAATTAAGTAGTAAGACCTGGGATTTTAATTTTCTTGTAGGTCTTGTTGAGTAAAACAAGAATTGAAGTGATAAATTTACCAAATACACCCAAAATCTTGGCTTACAGTTTTTCGTACATTCGCGCGTTTGTTTTTAATTCAGTATCATA